AATGAGCTATTACTTATCATGCTCTGACGTCATTTGACACATGTAATCAGCTGAAAACCTTCATTTTCGACTATTTCACCTATTTTCTTCACTTTTCACACCTTTTACTAAGCCTTTCTTGCCTTCTGTAACATTACACAGTAATCTCCAACCGTGAAAATCCCTAAAAACACCCTTGGCAACTTTATTCATTACTAATACTACTGTTACATATGTAAAACTACCTGTAAACCCTTGTTTACCAATTTCGACTTTTTCCCATTTCCTTAATAACTTCTATTTTCTCTTATCAACCACCAAGATTAAAGTTGTTGCTGACTAAAACAATGCTCCTCTTTCGTATTCCAACCCTACTAAACCCATAAACCTAATATTACTACCCTAAAAACCATTTCCAACCTGTATACCTCTATTTTCGAGTTTTTCTTATGTTTTTTTCTTTCTTTCTTTTTGTAATCTGTTTGTTAATAGTTTATACTTATCTTGATAAGTTTGTTTGAATGATAAAATGATGTAAATATTAAACTATATGTAACATAATTGATGTAATTCAAAATTCGATTTTTTTTGATTTTTTTGATTGGTCTCATATTTTGATTACCACACCGTCATCCTGAAGACTCTATGATCATGAAGGAATGGATCCATCAGACTCTCAGTGTCTGATAATTTGCTTTCCACCTCCGCCTTTTCGAGGTCTTCTTCCTGCCATGGTCGAGCCTGTTCACGGAACTCAGGAAGGAACATCTTGGGGTTGATATCTTCCAATTCAACGCCCGAGATGGCTTTTTGACCTCTTGGTGGGGCACACTGCAGACATTATTCGGGTCCCCAAGTGGGCAGGGAAAAATGATTGGGAGTATGATTTGTCATAAAATGGTCTATCACTCCACACCTGAGCCATAACACCCACACTACATATGTGTAGCAGGCTCAGTGAATATGTGGTTATCATGTACATACAGTTCTGCTCAGTTATCTGCTCATCAGGACAAGTTATTCATATGTAATACATGCTGTAACTTCTTTCCGATTGAAAAACGCTTCCAAAAGATTGACTACATACACTGACTCAATGTTTTGGTGTGATCTCATCAACTCAACTGCATGTAACACACTTTCTGTTACTAAGACATAGCTTCAACAATATTGCCTGAGCAGCTACAGAATTATATGTAGTGAATTTTTGGGAAAAAAATTTCAAAGTCGAAAAAGTTACATGTGGTATAACATGTGATTTATTTATTCTGATGGGCAAAAAACTGAGCAGACCTGTATGTACATGATAGACAACTATTGACTTAGCTTGCTGCACATATGTAGTGTGGGTGAAATGGCCCAGGTGTGCAGTATTAGATTCTTTTATGAAAAACTGTACTATTAATCATTTTCCTCTGCCAAATTGGGGAAGTTGAATGATGTTTACAGTGGCAGTGGAGGTGAATCGCAAAGGCGAAAGAAGCTTGGAATCATGAATCGCTCGATAAGCTCCAGGTGGGATTCTAGGTTGACCAACACGGGAACGGATAGGATAGGCGGAGAAGGAGTGATGTAAACCTTGTCGCTCAAAGCTCGCAGGAGTGAGAAGGTTCTCAATTGTAGGCGGAGTGTTGACCGACAAAGTCAACCTAGGAGTCTACATGAAAGAACTCTGATCGACTGCTCTCAGCGTCGCAAGCTGTGATTAGCCTTCGGGCTCAAGTCTGGGTAGCTAATCATTTTTTGTGTTGAAACTGGGAGCAACACCCTTCTTGGTGTTGATATCATACTCTTACCATTAGTAAAGAATACTCA